CTCTCTCTCTCTCTCTCTCTCTCTCTCTCTCTCTCTCTCTCTCTCTCTCTCTCTCTCTCTCTTCTCTCTCTCTCTCTCTCTCTCTCTCTCTCTCTCTCTCCTCCTCTCTCTCTCTCTCTCTCTCTCTCTCTCTCTCTCTCTCTCTCCCCCTCTCTCTCTGTCAATAAATGCATGTCACGGATGTAAAAGATATAAATAATTACATAACCAAGACTATGTAATGATTACCATAAAAATAACCCAAATTACCACCATATTATAATTAATACTACATTAACGGAGACATATATGATAAGTGATTACTAGCTTCTTCCTCATCTCGTCGCGCTCGTTAGTGAGGATGCAGTGTCTATCCTGCAGCACAGCTTCCTTTGTCTGCATCAGCGTTAGCTGAGCGCTGGCTTCATGCATCGCGTGAACCTATCGACACAACACAACGATGAACGATAGCTATGTAACAATGTGTCATCACGTTTCCTCCTATGTACTAGCGAGATACGCGGCGTTGCCCGGGGAAATCAGTGGCGTTACTCAGTTGGTGACCGATTGGTTGAAAGGAAAATGCCCAAAAAAATCTAACTATCTATCTATCCATGCATCCATCTATGCTTCCATGCATCCATTCCATTCCATGCCATGCCATGCCATCCCATCGCACCGCATCCCATATCATCCCATCCCATATCCCATCCCATCCCATCCCATGCCATCCCATCCCATCCCATCCCATCCCATCCCATACCATCCCATGCCATGCCATCCCATGCCATCCCATGCCATGCCATGCCATGCCATCCCATCCCATCCCATCCCATCCCATCCCAAACAGTAAAAAAACAATAAGAAATCAAAAGATAAAAAACATTAAAAAGTAAAAATTAAAATTAAAAAGTAAGAAATTAAAAATAATATATACTAAAGAGGTAGGTAAAGGGAAAACATAAAAAAAAGTGGAAAATAAGTTCCCCAGCTGGGACTCGAACCCGGAATCCCGGTGTAGGAGTCGGATGTTCTAGCGATTATGCCACTGCGCCGTTAAAGGTATACACCATGGATTCACACGTACGTGATGTTTTAACCTGTACTGTTATGTTTTATACTGTAACCTGCCATCTATTGATGAATAGAATTTTTATCAATTTTTAACTTTTTAACTTTTTTACATTTTTGTTTCAGCCAGAACCACCTCCCAGACGTGCTGATTCTGAAAATAGTTTTACTCTAGGCTGCGGAGTTCTTTAGTTATACGAGTACAGACTAATTCTGCTAAACAACTGTATATATATATATATATATATATATATACTCACCTATACTGTTGAACAGTATAGGAGTTGTCATGAGTTTTTTACCTTGATGACAATCTCTCCCCTCAGCTCTTCCTCTTTCTGCTCAAGTAGCCTCAGCTCTATCTGCATAGCCTGCCTCGCCTCAGTAACTACAAATATAATTTACACATAACATATATATACACTAAAAGTTGTAGCAATTCCACGTGGCTTTGTCGAAGGCTTTGATTACCATGTATTATGAACTACAGCTTGCAGAGCTGCTGAGCTCAGTGTCAGGGAGTGTGTAGCAACGGAAAGAAATCATTATTAATGACATTATAATCTGTAAGCCAATGAGGCTTGGAACTCCTTGCCGCTACAGAGCACAGTAGGGTCTACATATTATATGTACAACTGGATATACATGTTTTAATAGAAAAGGTTAAATACTAAAATGTTCAAAGTAGTGTTTAACAATAACATAACACTAAACAGGGTTAGTGATGGGAAAAAATTGAAGCGCTGAACGACAAATTCAATTATTTTATATTTTCATGTAGGCCTACAATGTGTTTGTGTATCACTATCATCTGAAAACTATTCCTTGTGAGGTTACGAAGTTCCAATGAAGCTGGCAATAGCCATATGATATATATATCACAGTGGCTATATGCCCGGCAGCCGGCGTATATCTGACGGCTGCCGGGCACGGTCTTCGATTTCCTAAATGCCCGGCAGTTTTTAACCAGCCAGTCAGCCAGCCAGCTAGCCAGCTAGCCAGTCAGCCAGTCAGCCAGTCAGCTAGTCAGCCAGCCAGCCATCCAGCCAGCTAGCCAGTCAGCCCGTCAGCCAGCCTGCCATTCAGCCAGTCAGCCATGCAGCCAGCTAGCCAGCTAGCCAGCCATGCAGCCAGTCAGCCACCCACCCACCCAGCCAGTCAGCCAACCAGCTAGCCAGCCAGCTAGCTAGCCAGTCAGCCCGCCAGCCAGCCAGCTAGCCAACCAGCCAGTCAGCCACCCAGCTAGCCAGACTAGGCTGTGCGACCGATTGTCTATACAATACTACCGGTCTTCTAACCCTAGCAAGACCGTTTCGTGGAGCTACCACCCAGCCACCCAGCCAGCTAGCCAACAAGCCCGCCAGCCAGCCAGCCAGCCAGCCAGCCAGCCAACTAGCCAGCCAGGCAGCCAGCCAACCAGCCAGCCAACCAACCGGCCGTCCGTCCGTCCATTCATCCATCCATCCATCCACCCACCCAATCACCCACTCACCCACACACCCACCATCAATCAATCCGTCCGTACGTCCGTCCGTCCGTCCGTCCGTCCGCCCGTCCGTCCGTCCGTCCGTCCGTTCGTTCGTCCAATCCATGCATCCATCCATACATTCATGCATCCATCTATCTATCCATCCATCGATCTATCCATCAATCTATCCATTCATCCGTTATGTGATATGTTTGATTCTATCATTGTGTCGCATTTTAATTGTAACTATTTGTGACTAAGGATCACGTTATTTTAAATTTAGTATATATTCTAAAGATGGTTTTTAGTTGTAGTGATATAATTTTACGAACCAACATCTATGTCTTACCATCTATGTCTATCTATGTCTACCATGGGACATATTATTACCTCCGCCATGGGCTTGGCGGGGGTTATGTTTTCACCGGCGTGTGAATTTCGCGTTAATTCAACGTTACAATTAATGCGCACGGCCGCCGGCACAATTTTTTCCCCCACGCGAGTTCCGGAATACAGCCAATCAGTGCCACACCATTATCGAGCGTCACTCCATTCACTCGACTTCCTCGAAGCAACAATGAAAAATGAAATAAATGTCACCGTATACCTAAACCTAACCCAACCCTAACACTAACACTAACTTTAAACCGACTCACACGCTTATATACAAACACATCGTACAAAACACTATCTATGGTGTATCCGCAACTCGCGTGGGAAAAATAATTTCGCCGGCCGCCGCACGCATGCCGACGCGACCAATCACAGTTCGTATTTGTGTTACGATAGGTTGTGTACACTTGGACGAACACAAACTGTCAATTGAAGGTTTGTATAAAATTTGTATTATTTATATTAGTTAGAGTTAAGAGTTGATAGGTAGAGATTGTAGTTGATATTCTTATTGATTGCATTCTCATCCATCTCTCCCTCCCTCTACCTCTCTCCCCTCTCTATATAATCGCGGGTCATACATGACTTTCTTGTCTCTCTCTCCCTCTACCTCTCTCTCCCTCCCTCTACCCCTCTCTCCCTGTATCCCTCTCTCCCTCTACCCCTCTCTCCCTCTACCCCTCTCTCTCTACCCTTCTCTTCCTCTACCCTTCTCTCCCTCTACCTCTCTCTGCCTCTACCCCTTTCTTTCTCTCACGCTGCCACTCTCCCCATCCCTCTCTCCCTCTACCCCTCTCTCCCTCTACCCCTCTCTCCCTCTACCCCTCTCTCCATCTACCCCTCTCTCCCTTTCTTCTTCTCCCGCTGCCACTCTCCCCACCCCCTCTGTATACATGGGTCATACTTGATGTTCTCTTATCTCTCTCTTTCTCCTGCCGCCACACACACAGAGCATCAGACAGTGCACCTGGCCATCTACCTGCTTGATAACTTCATGGACCAGTACGACATTCAGGACAAGACCATCTACCTGGTCACCCTCACCTGTCTGCTGATTGCCAGTAGGTATCCCCAAGATGGCCGCCCCCACCAGACGGTGGGCACTGTATAACAATCACTGCATGGTGCTTATATTTTCCCTGTAATGTTAACTCGTTCCCCCGGATCCACGAGTCAGTTCGTGGGAACAATCAAACGCATCCCCGCGGATCCACGAGTCAGCTCGTGGCAAAAAAAAAAAATAATAATTTGCATGTTCATAGGTCACCTGTAGTCTGTCCATTTCTGTCACCTGTAGTCTGTCTATTCCTGTCACCTGTAGTCTGTCCATTCCTGTCACCTGTAGTCTGTCCAATCCTGTCACCTGTAGTCTGTTTATTTCTGTCACATATATCAGGAGTTAATAATTATAATGACAAACGATATATATAGGAGTTTTTTTCCGGACGCGCGTTTTTGTGTGACTTTTTCGTGTGCCGCTAGAGAAAACTTTTTTCGATTACATAACAAAACCCATGTTTGAGCTCAGAATTAAGTCACAAAATATATTATATATGCTGTGATTTGGCTGTGATCGTAACTGTAAAATAAACCGTTAACAACAACTTTTAAATTTTAATTGCTGTTAACAATAAATTTCAAATCGGTAATCAGGTGATTTGTAACCCGACGAAGATGATGATGATGTTGCCCACAGAAGTGCATGGTCACAGGCACTTGGAGCGTTTCAATAAAATATAATGCTAAATAAATACTTATTCTATTTACTACCAGAGTCTTAATGTTTCTCTACTCTCTTTCAGTTTCACTATTATTGCCGACAATTTCCTGTAAATACCGTCCAAATGCTCATCTGCAACACACTGTCACACGCTGGCCGCCGTACGCTAGCTGCTGCACACTGACACATAAAAATATATTTATATGTCAGTGGGCAGCAGCTATAGCGTGCGGTGTACTTGTGTGTTGCAGATGAGCACTTGACCGGTATTTACAGGTGATTATAGGCGACTTTGGTAGTAAATACATTTCGTGTTTATTTACCATTATTTATTTTTATTGAGACGTTCCAAGTGTCTGTGTGCATGGTGGCGCTGCTGTTTGCGTTGGCGCTGTTCGCCAGTCGCCACTGCTATTCGCACGTGGACTGCGTTGGCATGCGAACGTATGTATTTGAGAAGCTCTTATAAGTTATTTGTGAGTTTTATTATTGCTATCATCTAAATTCCTGCATTCTGTTATGAAGAAAATAGCACAGCCGCTGCATCAATGTACGGCGGGAATGCAGATTTTAACTTTTAATACCCCTGATGCAGCTGTTTTGTTAGTGTTGCCATTATAGTAGTGTCGGTATGCTGTAACTGGGCAAATTACTTTGCCGCTTGTGTTTGCTGTACCGACAATCATATATAACAATACATCAATCATGTAAGTACTTATTGGTTCCATTGTACTGTTGTAGCTGTGAGTCGTTCGTGTGCGTTTTATATTGTTGCACACTTATCACTGTACATAACTACATTGTCAGGACTGAAAGGAGCTTGTGTACTGTAGTTTATAGGCGTATTGATATTGTGGCCTATTGTTGTTGTTTCCTTTGTGATTCATTGGACGATCATGACATTAGCTAGGTGATTTGTATCGATTCATGTAAGATCGGGATTACTAAATATCGATTAGACCTAATTGGTAATTAGAACGTTTACATTAGGTACCTCAAAAGTTTTGCAAATATGCTTAGTTCATTCTCTTGATTTACAGTTTACAAAACACAGATCATGTCATATATGGAAAAAATTCAATTCAAATCACTTGTTCAATCACTAGTTGCGATTGAAATATATTGTAACTGAAGTAATTGATAGTCATATATACACATATTAGTTGTGGGATAATTTAATTGAAGTGATTGATCATATTTTTAGCAGTACATGCTTACATGTGTATCTTTGTATTATGTGAAGTACACATGCATATCACTACATGTACATATTGGTAAGGTTTATGGGTGCACCGGAACTTGGATCCGGCCGGATCCCAAATTTTCCAGAGGTCCGGTTCTGGCCGGAACCCTTCAGAAACAGTCGGCCGGAACCGGAACTTTTTCCTAATTTCATTTCTGTTTCAAGCGTTATCAAAATCAAAAGATTAGTCACTGGAGAGTCAATAGAGTCAACTTGCTGACAATATTATTATAGTGTTAACAACTTCACACTTTTCTGCCCAAACGCTTGCCACTTGAAGATTGGCTAACTAACTGAACTGAACCTAACTGATGTTAGGTGATTCATAGATTTTCTTTCAAAATTAAATACTCTTAGAGCCACAGGAATCGCATCTGTCTATTAGTTGAAAATAATAGACTAAAACCAGGCATACTGCAACATGCATATTTTGCCACAGAATTCACTCATGAATAAGAATTAAGATGCCAGAATTATGCAAATTATGCACTGTAAGCAGCTGATTCATACACCTAACAGGAACAACCATTCTGTAATTAGAACTCTGAGCATTGTCCTACTAGCCTAAGTGATGTGCCTGCTAATGATATTTCAGTTCAGGCCGAGTAAGTTTGGGAAATACCCCAAAAGTTTTTTCCCAGCTAAAGTTCCGGTTCTGGCCAGGTAGTTCCGGCCGGTTCCGGTTTTGGCCGGAACTTAAAAAGTTGGATCCGGTGCACCCCTAGTACTTGGTTATAATATTTTGGGTCGGCATGCATATTATTTTTATTTTACACAAGTACAGCTAGTGCAAGATTGACTTGCTGGTTGCCAACCTTTGCTGCTATATAGGCTGATGGATATTTACTTTCGTTGCAAGGTTAACTAAAGGGCAAGAATCCCAATGCCATATATGTACACACACACATAGAGGTCGATCAAAACACTTAGAGGTTACACACACAGTTTTGGTGCCATTCATAGTTCACACTGGCTTTATGTATATACTGACCTCTTAGCTCTTGGCAAATGCTAGTTATATGCTTGTAGCATTTGGCATTTGGACAGAAGTGAGAGTAAGTAAAGGTCTTCATTCTCCATATCTGTAGTTATACTGAATAACATATATATAGCTGATACTGCAAATGGGATTTTGAGGTTAGAAGGCAATCAATGAGTCAATTTGATGTGTAGTATTGCTCTGTAAACTTTGTTTAATTAAATACTATCATGGCTATAAACATGGTTGAATTAATATGATATTAAAATCATATTATTACTCGATATAAACATGTAGTTTAATTAAATTTGAGTATTGCTCTAATAATGTGATAATGTTTGTGTTTCAGCACCACTACTACATGCTTGTGCCCCCCCCCCCCCGAAGGACCTTTTAAAGCCCCCCTTGTAATCCTTATAACCTCCACCCCCTCGATCCTACTCAATACCTGCTCTTACTATATCCTATTTAAAAGCACCTTCCTTGGACCCCATCCAATACCTGTCCTATGTCCTGATTCCTGACTATTCCCTTCCCCTGGAGATAATATTCCCTCCTGTATCCTATTTGAGCCCCTCCATGACCATATAAACAGTACTCCCTCCTATATCTTTTTTAACTTTCTCCCCCTGATCTCATTCAATACC